AAGGCTTTTTTAGTTATAATAGTTTTGTAGATCTTCTAAGTCTTTCAAACGGGATATTTTACCTTGAACTTGAATTGCACCACCAGCTTAACCAAAAAAACCAAGAGAATCTCCAATGTTGCTTTTCCAACCATGTTTATTGTTGCTGAAACCTACAAGTAACAATTTATATGAAAATTAAATCTTCTTTCACGCATATTGACGCCCATTGCTTAGTTTATTCACAAGATTCGATCCTTCTTTTGCTCTCATGCTCTTCTCCATACAAACATATTCCGATTATTTCCTCAGATGTCTCCACAATTCTTAGCCAATTAACTAGGATTTGTTCGATATTTCCACTATGGTAACAGTTATAAATAAGCTAATAGTTGCAATAGGTATTGTATTTTGTGGCGTCAATTAGTTTTATTCACATATTTATTATTATTTTTACGACAGTGTAGTTGTAATATTACTAATATTATGCTGTATATACAATATAAAAATTAATCTCTATTTCCCTAATTCCTTTTTTGTTGTTTATTTTAAGGAGAAGGTTTTAATGGAAAAGCAAAATGAGCGAAAAGTTTAAGAGCGGCATTATTAATTTTAAATAACTGTCAGTTGTCTGAAATAACTGTCAGCGATTGACAGAATGCGCGCTGCAAATATCGTTTACCACAGATCGTAGATTTATTGTTATTAATTATAACAATTATATTTTAATATTCATAGTTAAGACAGGACATCGTCTGTCGGGTCAGCAAATAATAATAGAAAAAGAAGCAAATTTCCTTTGTTCCAAATTCACCTGTGTTTATTTCTTTCTCTCTTTCTCACTTTACAAACAAAATTATAACATTTACAGTAGTCCTGGTCGTCTATCTCTCTCTCAAGACCATAGGCGTAAATGTAATTATATGCTTTATTAAACATCCAGTAACTAGCTCCGAATCTCAGACACACTTTTGTAAGTCGGTAAGAGTCCGAGTTTAGATAATCGTATTCAGAAACATTGTTCTTATCGATCTTCGCTTAGTTTTCTTTTGTTTTAGTATAAAAATAATAATATGTTTATTCATATACAAATGATATTACCTTAACCTTTACCCTTTTAAGCAATACCTGCGTATTCCAGCTCTTCAGGGAAGAAATCATGGCTTCGCAACGTTAGGGAGTAGACGGGTATCACAACTGCGAAAGACACGCTTCAAGAGACTGACCAACCTCAGGAATGGAGAGGCACTAAAAGCAGAATAACCATGACACTATTTGGAACCAGCCCCAGACTAACAATTTTGTCTTTGTTTCTAAATGAGGTGATAGCGTCATTTGTGCTCTGAATCTCACCTTAGTAGTCAAAACAAACAAACAAAAACTGGTATTTATTTACCACATACAGGCGTATATTTCCAATTATAAGAAACGATCGTAGTTAATTTGAACGTGTGAATTGGCATGTGCTCGTCTGCCCTCACACATTTGATGTTGTAACCACGAGGGTGGTTTCATGTTTTTGCTATAATACAAAGTTTACTTTCGGTTTTGGGGTTTGCAGAGTTCGTAAACGTTATTATAAAACCTGCAGGTATTTTACTGCTGCCGTATTTTAACTAACAAAAAATTTGTAGTCTTTACGTTTAATTTGTTCTATATCTTATGTAGCTTTGCACCTCTTGCGCTCCTTATTTAATTGAATGTTCCTACGATAAGGCCACTCGTTGCCTAATTGTTTAATGAAAAAGAAAAAACTTTATTTTACATAATAAAAATGATGTTTACTTAAAAAGAAAGCACTAGGCCCCACACCAGGATCCCCTGTATCGTTGTTAGTCTCTTTCTTTTTGACATGTTAACAGTACTTGACAATAATTTCTACATAATACATTTTACAATTAAACTACATGTTACACAGTAAGAATATTTTCCGTTTCAGCATAGTACCTACAGGTGGAAAAGATTTTGTTTAAGATTGTTACGCTGGCCATAGACGGACCGCATGTTGCAGTCGAGACCGACTGCTCTGGAGCAGTCGCGTTGAAGTCGTACACGACTGCAACACGACCGCAAAATAATACTGATGCGAGTTCATTTACAAGATGGTAGTCGATGAAGAAACACTGCTACTTGTACTATTATTACGCAGGCGTAGGCGTAGAAGACACCGTAGCATGTGGATGCGTCCAAAACTACAACCAAGAGAACAGCATGGAATATTTCATACTTTGTATCCCCAAATGAGAGAAGACACTAAAAAGTTTTTCAACTACTTTAGAATGTCCGTGGTTTCATTTGATGAATTAGTTAGTATTTTATTTTATTTGAGGGATTGGCGTGCGGTCGGCAGCAACCGCTTGTAGCGGTCCGTGTATGGTGGGTCCGGCAGCTCTAAGCAGTCGACCGCACGGCGAAACTCGACCGCAGAGCGACTGCTCCGACCGCTCAGAAACTGGTCGTGCGGTCCGTGTATGGCGGATATGAATTTAGTATGGAAACTGCAGTTCGCCGTGCGGCGACCGCTTAGAGCAGTCGGTATCGACTGCAAAATGCGGTCCGTCTATGGCCAGCGTTAGTGAACATATAAAGTTTTAAATCGTTAGCGAATATTTTCTTTTTAAGAAAGTGGTTAAAGATGAAAGGGCTTCTGAAAAAAAGCGAGGCGAATAATATAATGATTATACGAGTAATTGGTAGATTTTTTTGCAAACTTTACACTTAAACCCATAATTTTTTTGTCTATTTCTCTGTGCTGAAAACAAGACAGAAGAATACTTTAGGTAACAACAAAATTAATTGCTTGTTTTTATTCCTGGGAACCCCCTAGAGTTCATTCTAGAGTATAAAAATTTATCTCTTGTATTGCTTTTCCTTCATAGTGTAACCTAGCAATCACAGTATTTGAATAGAACCAGCTGCCTCTAACACGAGGATTTTTGTTATGTTGGCTTTTAAAATGTACCAATTTCATTTCCTCTGTTCTGTTCGTGGGCTGAATCTGTGGTTACGCCACGGAATAGATAAATCGTTAATAGGGTATATCTAGGTGTGGGTACCGGGTTCGATTCCCGGTTCGAGGGCAAGTTTTAATTTAATTTAAATTTGTTCTCGGCCTTTGGGAGGGTTGTGCGGTACCGGGCGAGTGCTTAAACCGTACATGGAGGACATGGTCGAATTTCTAAAAAATCTAATCTAAGCCATAAAAAAATAGGGTATATATGCCCTATTTTTTTTCCTTTTTGTCATTCATTCCTTTAAGAATCCCTTCCCCGCATGCGACAAGATATTACAGTGGTCTTAAATTTTTTCGCTAATGTATCGGGTTTTAGCTAACTTCCATACAATTTATGAAGATGTTGACATTTTTCGCCTTACCAAAGATGGTGTGAGGAAATATTTTAGAAAGCGGGAAGAATTTGACTTTATTTAGCTGTAGTAACAATTTTTTTTACTTAAAAAATATTAAATTGTAGTTTGTTTAATTTAATTTCAGTTTTCAATTTTATTTATTAATTAATGTACTTGATTGACTTATGTGTTCTGTTTCGTACATTTTGTTTAACAATGTAATCTGTTTAGGCTTTTGTCTATGTGTTTTCCTTTTTATAATATGTATATGTGTACCTGTAAGATTACTTATAAATAAATAAAGTAAGATGAATTTAACATCTAAGCTTCTTTGATGTACAGTGTATATTATTAATTGGATATTGTGAAATGAAAGAATATCAAAAATTAATCGAATAGATTTTATTCTTACAGACAATTCCATTATATTTATTAATTTACTAAATACAGACAGTAAGTACTTGTATTAACACTTATCTATATTAAAGTACAAACATACATACATCTATATCGTCCTGTTTTAAACGCGACCTTTTTATGTAGTAAAATACCCCTAATATGGCATTAAGCCCTGGTCCTATAAGCATAGGCGTGTCTAGGGTTCTTAGGGGATTTTAGGGGTCAAGCCTAGAAGCCTAGAATCAGTAACGTAAACATCCTAGGGACCATAATGGGGCAGAGCCCAACATTCTGCCTACACAAGTGTATGCTTATAAGACTGGTATATATCTACATTTAAATGTTTTTGTTTTAATATATTATACGATAATATAACCGCAATATCGTGTTTATGTACAGTAATATAAACAAACGTTACTCGTTATTTGTACACGGACAGTTTAGTTCTAGTAATAGACTGAATCACAATTTTATATTTTTAATTAAAAATTTGTAATCATGCAATCATGTTGAATTAACACCAAAATTTTCAATTGAAAATAAATAATTGTGATAATTAAATGCGTTATCCGTTGTGTTTTTAAAGAAATAAAACAATTAGCTAGATGTTAAAGAAAGGACAAATAAATTATGATAATTTAATACATAAAAAGGTCGCTAACTATATTTAATGTTCCCTATGGAATTGCAAAGAAAAGCTACTTTTACAATGTACATAATAAATATCTTACATTTTTACAATTAAATTTGAAATAAATCTTAATTGAATGTACATTACAACTAATCTTACTACAAGTTCCTAATATTAAAAAAATAAATACACGAAATCTTAAAATAGGAACCAAAATTGTAGATCTATTAAATAAATTATCTTTATTTTTATATAAAATTTCTGTACAATATTCACAATTTAGTCACATTACTCATGATACACAATCATTATTTACAGCTGGAATTCGTAAGCAAATATAGGTATACTATAGGTGCTAATCGAATTAAAATGATTGATCTCTATTTAACTTTTCAAAAATACCAAAATAATAACTTACAAAAATCCTCTTAAAAACACAAATATGTCAATATGTTATATGCTACTATTGCATTTATATATATTAAACTAAAGAGGTTACGCCTCAAACTGTCACTTAGCCAAACGTCACTTAGCCGAATGTCACTTGTCAAATGTCACTGAGCCGAATATTTAGCGTCACTTAGTCCACGGTAAAGCCAATCGAGCCGCATCAATCGTGGTAGTCACGCGGCTCCGGCTTCAGCTACCAGACGAGACCCTCGGGGTGGAGAGGTGGTGGGGCGTCCCCAAAAGTGAACTCGGGAGATGACGGCCGCGGCAGCACTAGGTGGTCCGGAGGGGGAAATTGCTCGGGAAACTCGCCCCCCTGGAGTGACTCCATTCCACCTGCAAAACGACCTACTCTTGTTAGACTCCATGAATAGTTTTGAAAAATATGTAACTGTGTGTTTGCGTCATATCTTATCTCTTTACTGATAACAACCCTACTTAATACAATGTATTAATATTAAGTTTTTGTATTAAAGAAGTTTGTATATATATTATCTTTAAGAACTAAATAGTAAGGGAAAAGTCTTGAATAAGAAGACTTGAAGGTCAGATTTCATACAAATTACGACTAAAATCTATGCAGAAGTCTACATACCTGGCTGGTTAAATGGCATAGATGGCGGTGGATGGAAGAACGGTGCATCATGGTGGAACGGCGGGCCATAGCCAAACTCGAACTTGCCATCTGCTGTCGCGAAATATGGGAACCCCGGAGGCCCCTCCTCCAGCCCTCCCGGTGAGAGGTTCATGGGGAAGCCGCGCATCTTGCGAGACGACCCGAAAAATGGGCCCCGACCCATTGAAGTCAACTGCTTTAGGCGTCGTTCTTTTGAACGCTTATTTTGAAACCACACCTGCAACAAAGAAAAATCGTTAGTTCAAGCTGTTTACACACTTATCGTTATTAAAAGCATGTATATGCGCGTACGCAGGTATATAGTAATGTATGTCAATAGGTAATCTGTAATTGAAATAGCTTAATTATTATTATTGTTTAGTAACTGTTCAAATAGCTCTGGGTCGATTCATCGCCTGGTACACTGTTTGTTTTATTAGAAATTTACTTTTACACTTTTTGCTTAATCTTGCCGAAGCCGTGTACAAATTATTTGAAGAAGTCTATTAAGTATGAGGGTGTGCAATTATTTAATCAATTACGGTCTAAAATTTGTAATATTAGCGTGTTTAGCCAATTTAAAAGGGCATTAAAGATACAAATCAGAATGAGCCTATTAGACTCAAATTGGGACGGCTGATGGCGACGTGTATCTCTTTCGTATATACATATTAAGTTTATCATGTAAATAATTTTTTTTTTTTTTGTAATGAGAAATAAAGTTCTTTAAACATTACATCTTACAGGTTAAGGAAACCTGGAATTATTACTTCAATCTTCAGGGATCCTGGCAGGATCCCTGAAGATGCGGAGGATCATCCTGGTAGGTAAGCTGATGAAGATGGGCCTAAGCCAAGTAAACACAGTTTTTTTCATGGTATCTTATAGAAATTTACTTATTAAAATTTAAAATAAAATTGAAAATAAGCTCATTTACATTGTTAACTATATAATAACCTATTACGTTGCAAAAGCACTTTTTAAATTAACTGAAACCGCTTAGTGGAAACTTGCGTTATAAAGGTTGTCCAAAAACAATCTTCACAAAGCCCCTTTTCCAGGCTTTCATAATTCAATAACATTTGTACAAGACATTGACGGGAAGCCGGGAGAAGAGGGAAAGAGACCACGGATTCAGCCCAACATGGTTTGAGCCGGTATCACAACTGGCCTCTGACGCCAATCACCTGCATGAAGCAGGAGCAATCTACGGGTCTGGAGCATCACGACGCTCAGCAGTGAGCAAGCGACAGTCATTTGTCAATCTAATAGGCAAGTAGGTGATCAGCCTCCTGTGCTTGTCACCCGTCGTCCATTTTTGGGTCTAAGGCAAGCGACGACGATGTTTTCCTTCACCGTTTGAGTCAACATTAAATGCGCACATAGACAGTAAGTCCATTGGTGCACAGCCGGGGATCGAACCTACGACATCTGGGATGAGAGTCGCACGCTTAATCCACTAGGCCAACACTGCTAAAAACTGCATACGAAACACGTCCATTGATGTATGTTCAGTGATTAATACTTTTGCATGATATGTTGGCAACCCTAAAAATGTGAAAACATATCACTTTGTCGGTATTGCAAAACATTTTTTTAAATTTACGAGTCTGCGTGAGACTGTGGTTGGTAAATGTTTGCTCGTAATATGTAATATAGAAACCGCAGGTTTATGAAACCATGTTTTTCTGTAATAACATTATGTTCGTACTTTGTATTACAAGGGCGGGACGTTTTTTATGTGGGAGTTTTGTCTATGACAAGATGTCTGCTTACAAACCACATTTTTCTTTACTTAAGAAATAAATAAATAATGTCTTGGAACCATTATTATTATTATTTTTTTTATAGAACGGGGGGCAAACGGGCAGGAGGCTCACCTGATGTTAAGTGATACCGCCGCCCATGGACACTCTCAATGCCAGAGGGCTCGCGAGTGCGTTGCCGGCCTTTTAAGAATTGGTACGCTCTTTTCTTGAAGGACCCTAAGTCGAATTGGTTCGGAAATACTTCAGTGGGCAGCTGATTCCACATAGTGGTGGTGCGCGGCAAAAACTGCCTTGAAAAACGCTCAGTTGTGGAACGGCGGACGTTGAGGTGATACGGGTGGAATTTCGTATTCTGTCTCGACGTCCGATGATGAAACTTAGCTGCAGGTATTAATCCGAACAACTCCTCTGAACACTCTCCATGGTAAATGCGGTAGAAGATGCAGAGTGACCCCACATCTCTACGCAACGCCAAAGGATTAAGCCGCTCGGAGAGGGATTGGTCGTCGACGATTCGAACCGCTCTGCGTTGTATACGGTCAAGTGGAAGGAGCTGGTACTGGGGAGCCCCCGCCCAGAGGTGAGAGCAGTACTCCATGTGGGGCCGAATTTGCGCTTTATATAGTTGCATGCGGTGGCCCGGAGTGAAGTACCGCCTCGCCTTGCTGAGCACACCAAGCTTTTTGGAGGCTAATTTTATGTTGTATATAAAATTTTATATTAGAAAAAGACAGCTCATTTCTTTTCAATTGTCAAATTGAATCCCAGTTTAAAATATCTTCAATCAAAATTACGACATTCTTCTTATTCTTATAGTGCCATCTCCTTGCGAAGGTTGGCGATCATCATGGCTAGTTTGATTTTGGATGCCGCGCTTCTAAATAATGACTTGGTGCTTTGACCAAACCATTGTCTTAAGTTTTTCAACCAGGACGTGCGTCTGCGGCCAGGTCTCCTTCTACCTGCCACTTTGCCTTGTATGATTAGTTGAAGGAGCTCATATTTTTTGGAGTTACGTAAAACGTGTCCAGAATACTCATACGACATTCTAGATGTGAAGTTCTACTTAAATTTCCTTTTGCTACGAAAAAATTAGTATTTATGTACCTATGTAAAAGTAATATTGGCCTAGTAACTTCAGCGTGCAACTCGGGCCGGGGACTTTCTGTCTGTATGCGCATAAAACATCGTGATAAAAACCTGCATGTGTCAAATCCAAGTAGATCGTCATATGTCAGACGGCTGATCATCTACTAATCTGTGAAATAAATTCAAAGAAACGGATGCAGTCTGACACTTGTAGCGCCACAGGATTATTTATTATGTATGTTAACGCTTATTTAAAAAAACGTTAATAATCTTTCACTATCCACAGATCCTTGCCAATTCAAAAAGCTATAAAACGAATTCCTAAATTACAGAATCACGCGCAGAGCGTTGTGCGTTCACGGCGCGTTATGCGCGTGGCGTGCGCGCACCTAATCTTTAACGAGTGTCTCGTGTGTTAGGAACATTATGTTTAGTTTCGCCTCTTATGCTTTTAAAGCTTGACAGTGACATTTTTGCATACTTTGTAGGTCATGGTAAATAGAGTTTACATAAAAACAAGGTCTTGCACATGCATAGAAATTGCTTATTGACATGTCACTCTTAAGGCTGCGCGTACGCAGTACAATCTTTATAAGTAGGATGGCTGGCGATTATATGATGTACGATAGAACAAGACAAGTATACTTAATAGCAATATGTTTTCACATCCCTAGTTCACCACATCATACGAAAACCTACATATTATTGAATCCATACAACAATTGGTTAGTTTAAATTTTTTAATTTGAGTATTAGTTGTGGTAGTATAAGTATTTGTATGGCCCCTTTAAGGGTTCTTCGTATTTTTCCATTTCTCTTCGTCTTGAGCAACATTCATCCAATTTTTCCCCGCTATCTCTATAATGTCATCTGTCCATCTTTTCCCGACCTCCGTTTCTCCTTTGACCTCTTTCAGAGGCCCTTACGTCGTTAACCACTTTCTAAATAACAAAATTCAAAACTTTACATTCACAAATCTTAAGCAATATCTCAACCTGCCCTACGCTGAAACCGAAACTATACTTCTCGTACAGTAGTTTTATTATGGTAAGTGTTATATAGAATGAATTACGTCCAGTACCTTAAATGATTAATATGTCAAAAGGAGGAGGCTAGTTGCCTACGGTACAGGGAATACTAGTACTTTATTATTTTACTGTGATCATGTGAAGAAAATTTTCACACAAAAAAATCAAGATAGGTCTGGTTAATAGATACGGTAATAAATATACTTTCAAAATAATGCATTTTTAACGAACTTACACAAGAATTATATTGATTTAACAAAACCGACGTGTCTAAGACCCAAAAAGTCGACGGCGTGTGTCAGGCACTGGAGTATTAGATTTAAAAATGATCATGAAACATATTCAGAAATCTGAGGCCAAGACCTAAAGAGGTTGTAGCGCCACTGATTTATTTTAGTTATCCATACGAACTGGTCACAAAATTAACTATAATGCTAAACATTTGTTCAGATAGCCATAAATTATTATTCAATATAAAAGAATCTTTGACTACGTTTTGTTTTTTACTAAACAGTCAAGGTTTACATAACATCCTCCTTTCAAATCGATTCGAATCAAATATAATCTATATCATTATCCATGGCTAAAGGATTGTAAACAAGATGGCGTATTTCACACGCGATTAAAACACAATTTAACTATTTAATGAATGTTTTTTCTTCGTTTAGAAGTTAGGTTACGATTTGATATATCTATTTGTTTACCATCTTAGTTTTTAATTGACAGAAAGAAAGAAATAAAGAAAATATTATATATAGTATATAAGTAATACAAACACAATTACTTTAATGAAAAATGGGCTAAACTCAGCCTTCAGTTGCTGTCACTAGCAACACTGATTTTCAGTGGACCCATACTATCATCGAATAACAGATATATACACATTACACTGGTATATATATTATCTATTTATACTCGTCAAAATTTAAATAATTATATAATAAGTTTATGAACGGTTTTCAAAAAATATTTAAAAAAAACTTCTTTAATACAGCATCAAACCACGAGTATCGATGCGGGTTTGTATTAAGTCGTTTGAGCTCTAGAGGCGATCAGCAAGTGGCAACTATAATAAAGAATATTAAAAAAAAAATGTACAACCGTGCGAAGATGGCACAGGCAGAAATGTCAAAAATTTCGCTCGTTTCGTATTACCTTAGTAAAGTGGAGATTTTACGATTTCTATAAAAACCCGAGGCGCAACGAATGTTCGTGGTTATGAAATATAGCATTTAACACCAGTTTACGTGTAAAGACGTCCTGGGGAGACGCCGCGCGTTTTTACCGGATTGTCACTAAAGGTCATTGACCTGGTTTTTTTGGTGATCTCCCTTGACCAGGGAGATTTTCAT